TGTTAGAGTATTTATTTATAATAATCTATTTGAAAACATTTAATATTCCTCGAATAATTTGTTACGGTACGGGAAGTTCCAGCAATTTGCTTTAAGGCACGGTGCCATGCACCCCACTAATTTATTTTTTTTGTCGGGCCTCCGAAACCGCTGTACCTGCCTTTCCAAAAACTTAATCAGTTCTTCACTTCCTCAATACAGATGAAATATGTTTATTCTATGAATTATTCAAATATTATTTATATTATTATCAAAAGCCATTTCCTTTATCCATCTAATTATCGTAGATTTCTGCAATGGTGTTTTATTTGTGATTGATCATAAGTTTTTATTTAATCTCTAACATTATAGTATACCTTTTAAAAATATTGTTATTTAAGTATAACTGAAACACCATAAATCTATTTAATATTATTTATAACGTTTTGATCTCCGTCGGTTGTAAGAATATTTATGCATATTTATGCAAAATTGTCTTGTTTTCTAAGAAAAATAATTAGTTATAGTGCAGGTTGCTATTTAAACCAATAAATCTTTTATATTCATACATTTCACAATATTCATCATATTTGTGAAAATCTTTGAGAAGGTTATTTATTAAGAAAAGCTCATGAGCTTTTTAGACCTGCAGATCTAAATATCCTTGCGCACCGATTAATGACTTTTAAATTAAATATTTTAAAATTATCAATATTGTTAGATTAAAGTTGTATGCAAAGTTATTCGAGTAAATATCTTGAAATCAAAAACTCTGGTTAAAAATGAATGAATGAAAAAAATTAATACTTATCCTCACCATATTTATAATAATAATAACATTGAGTAGTATTCTATTTTTAAACTATACATTATTAAACTATTTTTTAGTCTAAAAATTATCCAATCGAAACATTATTATTCGGTATTATATAATTTTATTATATTCAATAGTTTCACGGAAATTGTGAATTTATCTGATTAAAGAAGCTTTTTGAAGGTTTTCTAAAATATTTTATTCTCGACGCAAACTTAAAATGCAAAGAAAATTCAACCAGAAACAGCCAGAACAGATCACAACGAAATTTGTAAAAACAGAAAATATAAAAAAATAAGAAATTATAAAAAAATTACTTAAACTTTTGCAAATTTTTAGCAAAAAATGTAAAGAGCTCAGGCTAAATATTACAAACATTATGTGAAGAACAGAGAAAAAAAAATCTTAATACAAATTTCGACTTTAGGTTGAAATTTCTTTGCATTTTGAGTTTTCATCGAGTATAAACTAATGTAAAAAAAATCTTTAACCGGACATTTTCACAATGTTGGTAAAACTCTTGGAAATAATATAGTTATATAATATCGATTAGATAATTTGCAATAAAATCAAATTTACGGTTTATTAACAATATGGGCAGTGTATTATATTGAAGTGATGATTGAATCTAAATGAGGACTAGCTCATAAATTAAAGAAAGACGTACAAAACTTGGTTAAAAGAATGTGACATATGCTGTAAAATATTTCTGTTATATATGGTAAAAGTAATCATCTTTATACTATACTATACAGACATACATTTTTTTTAATTAAATCTCAAAATTTTCAGTTGAATCATACCTAGTATTATAAAATTATGTCGAAAAGATTTAATGTTTGAAGATGTAAAAAAAATCTGTAGTTTATAATATATTAAAAAAAAGTGCCTTTAAAAATTATTTAATTATATAAACATTACGTTCTATTTTATCTTGATTGAAATTCTCCACTCCAAGAATAATCACCGCAATCGTGTCGTTAATCCAAGAATATCGAATTCTATTTATAAAATTATAAATAAATTACCATAAATTAGTATTTTATGATCATTATTTATATGTTCATTTTAATATGATCCTCAAGGCTTTGATTATATACAACAATTCTTAGCACCTAATAAAATCGTGATGGTAGTTGGGAGATATAAATAAAAGGTGTTAATGAGCGGCCGCATGCTGCAGCAATATTATTGTTAAGGCAATATGTGGTGAACATATTTTACATCTTCATTAATTTTTAATTAAATTTTTACAGATGCTAGAACATATTTTCAATGAATAGGAATAAGTAATTATTATTATAGAATCATATGTATGTAAAATTTCAAAAAAATTAATTTATCAAGATAATCGAATAAGAAACGAAAGATGGCTGCCTCAACTTCTTTACTCTATTTATGTAAGTAAAAATTTTCACAAAGAATTAATTTTTCTTCTAACTTCTCGTAGGGTAAGTTATAGTTATCGCAAAAAATCGAAAATGATTTTTTTTATATCTTCACGTGTCAGAGGTTTCTGAACATTTTGATGTACCTTAGAAAAAATGGATGTATGTGTGTGTGTGTGTTTGGATACAGATTTTTGTCAACAATTTCGGGAACACGGTTCAACCGATTTAAATTATTTAAAATACGATTTCTATCGAAAAGGAGACGTACTGACTAGTTTTTGGGCAAGGCAGATCCAATCGTTTCGAAGATACGGGGCAAAAAGTGTCAAAAACGATAACTCGGTTTTTAAGAGAACGGAGCGTCCGATTTTAAACATTTTATTTGTTTTGACAAAATGAAGAACTTATTAAATTTTTGGGGAGGCAGGTCTAGCGGTTACGGAGATCGAGTAAAAAAGTTAAAAAACGCCATTTATTGGCGGTCAAAAATGATCATTAGACATATGCACATTAATTTATCAGATCTTTTATCAAGAACATTTACATTTTTAGTAGTTTCGTACCATGTTTTTCCGTTAGTCTGCAACGCGGCGCTCACGCGCTTCGATTCGTTTCAGTAAAGTTCAAAATTTCCAAAATATTTCAAAGTTAAAAAAAAATCAAATTTTTCAATTAATTTTTTTTCAAAAATTTTAATTTTTTCAAAAATCTATTTTTTTAAAGTTCTAAAAAATGTTTGAATCTTTTTTAAACATTAATTTTGGGTACGGGATGTTCCAGCAATATGCCTTAAGGCACCATGACATGCACCACTAATCTTTTCTTTATATTTTAAGTACGATTTGTCTATTATAAGGACATTTAGTAATTGTTTTTTTAGACTACCCAGGATAAGCTCTTTCCTAATTGTGATAGAATTTCGAAACCAGCCGAGGTTGGATTCGAACCCGAAACTAGTGATTGCTAATATTACTTTGTGGTTGCTAGTAACTAGTGGTTGCTTACCACGGCTGGCTCTTTTTTCTAGAGATAAACTATTCTAGATTAAGTTATCGTAATATAACTTAACATTAAGGACTTTGAGTTTTTTTTATGTTTCGAAGGAAACCAGAACTACTCATAATTACTTTGTCTTATAAGATGTTTGTTGAAGACTTAACCCAATGTTTTATGAGATGCAACCCATGGTCTTTGAGAAATATCTTACAATATCTTGATCGTTTTTTTTAATTAACAATTATATAAGGTTCAACATCATTGCAGAAATCGGGGTTACACATGGGATCTATAAGAGATAGTTTTTGATTTATCTATCAGTGATAAGGCAAGTACTAATTTTAAAGTTGATTTTTACACTAGTTTGTTCTCATTAAAAAATGGTAAAAAAATACATTGCAATACGTGCAAGATATTTATATCATTTGCCTGTGAATAAGTAAAACAAGATAACAAATTATTATTTGAGTTCGACAAGTGTATTAATTTTTTATGAAAAGGTATTTTCTTTATTCTATGTGGATTTACTTTTATTTAATAAATTAATTTAAAATAAATTAATTTATATTTAAATAATATTAAAATTAGCTGTCACTATTTGATGATTGCTAAGAATATTTATTAATCCATTAAGATCATTGAAGGATTATGCAATAATTACAATTATCAAGATAATAATTCTCCAATTTACATATTATGTATATATATATATACAAAATCATTTAGTAAACGTTATTATTCAATTTTCAACTCAACATAAGAAATTGCATCATGGCGAGAATTTGTAATCGATTACGCAATTCAATTTTATTCGTTGTGATCAGTGATTTATTGAACAATGTTAAGTCGTAATATAACTATGACTACAGGTTGAGAAATTGGGAATATATCTTTGTAAAGGATTTCAAATAAAAATGTTATAAATGAATTATTTCATGCAACTTATTTCTATCAAATATGATATTTAAGATTTTTGTCTGCATAAAGTACAAAGTCATATCCTGTGGGATAAGCTTGCTCTATTGTCTTACTTTCTTACATTAATATGTTTTTGTTATATAAATATCTATCGGAAACTTGGTTTAACTCACTATATCATTTTTATAGAAGTCAAACCGAATAGAAAAATAATAGAAGTCCTATCTCTAGGTGATGATTTCTAATTTAACCATTTCTCTGATTAATTTTTTATTATACTGGGCAAATTTTAATATCAAAACAAAATATTTTATCTGACAACAATCTAGTATCAAGATATTAGAAAATGTTAACTAGAAAATAAGCTCATTATTATCGCTGATTGATTCATAAACTACATTTTTTCCTCATTAGGTATTCATTGTAAATATAATTGAAATTACAATTTATTATTATTAATAGATAAATCAGATATGTAATTTGAATAACAAGATAATTAAGATGAGTAATCAACAAAGTACTATAATTTAAATTTTATCACATTGTTTATATATTTTGCTTTTTAATGCTTTTATATTTAAATTTATAGAAAGCACAATTGTTGATTACAGCGGTTGGAAAAATAAAGATGGTAGAATAAGGTAAATGTTTTAAATATATATATATATATATATATATATATACTAGCTGACCCGGCAAAAGAAGTTTTGCCATAAAAAATATTTCTAGAATAAAATATTTAATACGAAAATAATTAAATGATTGAAAATGCGCTCGAAAGTTCGTTTGCTTGTTGAAAAATTTTTTTTGAGCTGGATCTAAATTAATTGACTAATTTAAGTATTAAATATTGAAATAAAAATTAATGGATATGTTATAATCACTTAAATATAATATCTTGCCTTGAGGTCTTGTAGGAAACGGCCTCACAGGTCCATGCAAAGACAGTCTTCTTGTACTCTCTAATAGTATGGCAGCATTAATTTCTCTTCTTTTTTCTAAATCAGTCAAAGATATCAATCGTGAATTATCAGATTTATCAAAAACTGATGACTCTTGTCTATTATCGAAATATCCATGACTAATCGGCGGAGTGGTTGACTTTTGCAAAATTGACAAAACTGAATGGTCAATTGTTGGTTTTCGACTATTATTTTTTCGGTCATCATTTAAGATTCTGTCTACGCCAAATTTTAAACCTTCGTTTATTGCAGGAGTGTCTTTTGTTTCTGAAGAATTACTTAGCTTTGAAATAGTGTAATCCATCGTAATAACAATACTTCGACCTTAATAATAATCTTCAAATTGAATAACTATTGTCCAAAAATATAGAAATAAGTCTATACATCATTTTTTTGCACATTTTTAATTAGCCAACATTGTTGAGTTTTTATCATTGATTTTATTAATTAATTAATATTAAGGAGATGCTTTGTGTTTGGTTTTAAGATTCTCCTGATTTTTAATAACTCTTCTAAGAAGATTCTCAATTTTTAAAATGTGAAATTCAATCACTCAATTTGGTTTTGAACAGTTATCTTTATGCTAATCATTTTAATATTAGTTTGTTGATTTAATTATTTTTGTAAATCACTTTCACTATATTCAACATATTTTGCATCATTTATAAAGTTTTTACATTCGAATTTATAAAAGTTTTTAAACAGTTATAAAATTTCACTTATTTTTTTGAAAAACTAAAACTATTAAACTATTATTCTAATTTTTATAAATTATATTCTATGTTGATTAGTTTTATATATGTAATTAACTTCATAAATTTATTATTTACGTAAACACTATAATAATTAACTCCTAGCTCATTAATTAATTCATAAAATGAACACTACTTATTATATGCTAATAAATAAATATTGTTTATATAATATATTTTAAATTATATTAATCAAGTACAATTTCTCATATTTCATCGTAGCCTTTTATCGCTTATTTTACGAATCGTTTTGAGAATTGTACTTTATAGTTTTTGTTTGGAAATTTTTAGAACATTAAATTTTGTATAATATTTAATTATAAAACAACAACAATTATATTCAAATCGTTTGTTGTTTATCAAACATTTTAAACAACTTTGATTGTTCGATTGTTTTTCACTCATTTGCTTAGAATACCCATAATACAATAATTGAATAAAATTTATTTTATTATTGTAAATGTTTTAATTGCATTGTTTATGTTTTTAATACAATATTTCTAATAATTGTTCTTGTATCATATATTTGTAAACATTTTTTCAACGTTTATTACGTCTTGTACTATAGATTGAACTTTATAGTATTTTTAAAATATTTTTAGAGCATTGAATTCTTCAAAATATGTAATTGGAAAATTATATCAGTAATATCCGAATAACAAAAATTATCAAATAACAAAATATATACTTTGTTGCAGGCACTTTGTCAACAATTTATTAAATATTAATATGAATTTGCACTGGGTTATGGATATTTTATTATTCGCCTTTAATTAATTAAAAAATAGTTTGTTATTTAGAAATTTTAAATACACATTGTTTATGCCTATAATACACTTATTCTAATAATTCTTATAGTATCGCATATTTCAAAGCATTTTTTAATTGTTTATTACACTTTGTTTGGCGAATTGCTCTTTATATTTTATTCAAATATTTTTAAAACATTCAATTTCAAGTCAATTTTGAAACATATTTAATTGTAAAATGACATCAGTTATATACAAAATATTTGTGATTTATCAAGTATCTTGATATACTTTGATTAAAAGACGTTTTAATATTTTAATAAATACTCCTATATATTTGCACTTTATTATAGATATTTTATTATCCACTTGCAATTGAATAAAAATTAGTTTGCCATTTACAAATGTTAAATACTCATTTGTTTATGGTAATAATACACTATTACTAATATTTCTTATTCTCATATATTTTTAAACATTTCTTTTACGTTTTTTACGTATCGAACAGTAAATTGCACTTTATATGATTTTTAAATATTTTTAGAACTTTGAATTTTCAAAATATATAATTGTAAAATGGTTTCAGTTATATCCAAACTATTTGTTATTTATCAAATATTATCTTATATATGAAAACACGTCGTTAACAATTTAATAAATATTCATATATTTGCACTTTGTCATAGATTTTTTATTATTCACTTGCAATTAAATAAAATTTATTTTATCATTTACAAAAGTTGAATAGATATTGTTTATGGTAATAATACACTATTCTTAAATTTCTTGTTATGTCATATAGTTTTTTAAATATTTTTAGGGCATTCAATTTAGTATCAATCTCTTGATGTGCTTATTTAGAGCTGCTAACGTGCTTTAATATTTTAATAAACTCTCATATATATTTTCACTTTGTTAGATATACTTTATTATTCACTTGCAATCAAATACATTTTATTAAATTACTTCTATTATTAGTTAAATTGTAGTAAATTTATATTATTTATACACTACTTTTAAAAATTTGTATCGCATGTTTGTTTAGTAAACGTTTTATCGTTCCTTACACGTTGTTTTAGAAATCGCACTTTATAGTTTTTTTTTTTAAATATTTTTAGAATATTCAATTCTACTAAATAAAGAGTTATAAAACGACATCAATTATATCCAAGATATTTGTTATTTATTAAATATTTTAATATACCTTGAGGCACTTCGTTGGCATTTTAATAAATACTCATATATTAGCACTTATAGATACTTATGTCCACTTGCTGAGTAGAGTCACTTCTTTAGATTCACTTAATAATTAATAATTAATTAAAATTTATAACTTATTAGTTCTTACACATTACTGTATCATTTTCACGTCCACAACTGCTTCTATCATAATTAAGATATTTGTTTTAATAATTTTAAGAGGCAATTCGATCCAATCTTAACTGCATTCGACGCCTCGAGATACACACTGACAGTAGTATGGAAATTGTTGATGTTAACTCAAGATACGAAGAAAACATGTGTAACCAAACCAAACTGTAAGATTAAAAAAAAAATTAACATTCTGTAGGCGGAGTTGTAAGCATACTCCTTGGTTTCCAATTGGACAGAACATCTCACATCGACTTAGAATGTTCCACCTTTCCTATCGAAATATTCTGATCATTATATTCCACTCCGTCTAATAAGATTCTGTTAAGCGATGGTAATTTGCGGAATGTTTATTTAATAATTATATATTAATGTTGATAATAAATCGTTTTATTTTACGAGCCTTTGATTGTTTTATGATATCGGAAATTTGATTATAAGGCCAAAGGTAGATGGTAAACGATTATTGCGGGATATATTGGATAACTAGAGAGAATTTCAAGTTGTTGTAAATTTTGTTAGTTTATTTTGTAAAAGAGATTGATGAAAAAGGAAAAGAGCCAATATTGCATTTTATTGAGTAGGATGGAACGGGGATCGAAGGACCGTGGTTAAAATGGTCCACTACCGATATCTCAAATCAAATAAAGTTAGGATTTTTTCTAAAGTGGAGAAAAAAATTAAAACCAACCATCACATTTGTGAGAACTATGATTTAGTTTACGAGACCTTAATTTAACTGTTAGGAGGCATCCATTATACACGTGAGGTTTTTAGGGGGTCTGACAAAAAATCACGAAATATCATGTGGGGGAGGGAGGGGTATAATAGGACATCACGTGTTTTTATTTTCTACCTTTTTTTTTAAATCAAAACATTTTCAAAAAATCAAAAATTTTACCATTTTTTCTCGTAACTAAAAATGCACATGATGTTTGGCGGGGCAGGAGGGGTAATTTTGAATATCACAACGTATCACCAAGGGCGGGAGGGGGGTATCTAAAAATCCTTAAAGTATCGATCAAGTGATTAATGGACGGTCCCTTATGTATACGTTATTTAGTTACTTTATTTGATGTATTGATGATTTTAAGGTAGATTTAACGGTTTTTTTTATATATCATCTATAAAAGCTTACACGTGGGTGGGTTAAAAAGGACCAACTGAACGTTTTCCCTGGCAAAGGTGTAAACAATGAAAAAGTAAATTAAGTTTATTTTACAAGCAATTTTTCAACAAATAAATTAAATAAATAAAGTTATTCCAACACTTCTGATAAATATTTCTGACGAAATATCAGATCAAGGTTATATACAGTATTATCTCTGTAAAAAATGTACCGATAAAATTTATATTTTGCATTCGTTGAATAATGTAACTATTATTTCGTAAAATCTCTTTAAAATTAAAATTAAGGCATTAAACCTGTTTGCTCTTCAGGCGTCTCATTTTGCTTCGTCTATGGGATAAAATGGACCAGATGACAAATTTTAAAAAACAGAAAAAACACATTTCTACATTGATGAATTAGCTGGGAGTGTTACTGAGCTTAGTCAGATAGTTGCTTGTTGATATGTTTTATTTGGTTTGATTTTCACAATATAATTGTTCAAAGTCAAATTGGACCTTTGTGTCTCGCTCACCCTAACGTAATTGATAATATTAGGCTTATATTTGAAATTGATATGAAGCACACAGAATTTCTATTCAAACTAATTGTTGAAAATCTATTTAACTCAACATTGTTCTTATTCACATTTAATTATGGTTCAATTTTCCAAAGTATGTAATATAATTTTAACTCATAAATATGATTGTTACAAGTTTGTGGTTTCAGTCTTATTTAAATAATTTGTGTGTTTTATGTACTGTAGAAGCGTCAAACTGGTACTCGAAACGTCCTGAAGTTGTATCAAAAAAAATAATTAAGCATAAATTAGTTTTTAATATTTGAATAAAATCCGTTATAAAACACTTTGGTTTACTTACCATCATGTATCTTTCACGATTTTAAATACTATTGCATATATAATGATATAAGTACGTACTAGTCGATTTAAAAGTCACTTAGGCACATAAGATTTTCGGATTTTAGGGATCAAAATAAGATACTTTGCTGAAGAAACCGTACACCTGAAATGAATTCTGATGCCCCGTGCATTGACCCAAAGATAAGGGTTAAAAATTGAAAAACCTCTTAAGGGGGGTCCCAGGAGATGAACCAAAGACATGCGTGGATTGGCCTTCCAATGTGTAGGACGGTCATACATTTGGACGCAATTAGGGCACTCTAAATGGGTCAAAATGAAATTTTTCAAATTTTATCACTTATTTTTGGGTCATTGCACGGGACATTAGAATACATTTTAGAGGTATTTCTGCAATAAAGTATCTTATTTTGATCCCTAGTATCTAATCATAATATAATGCACATAAATCATATGTGTCGAAGCGACTTTTTTTGACCCATACAAATCGACTC